ACTTTCATGCGAAATTATTGGAGCAACTATTTTACTATTAAAACAACTATTGCAGTAAAAAGCGTTCGAAATCTAAATAAATTGGATCTTCTCGCTATTTTACGAGACGATATTATACTAATAAAATATATATACTATATACTATATACTAATAAAATATATATACTATATACTATATACTATATACTATATACTATTGGGTTGACAACTAAGTAATTGCTGATTTTAGTTACAGATGTCTCTCACTCCCATTTTTATGATATCCGTAAATGTTATATTATAAAATTATTATTATTATTATGTTATTTTTTATTATCCGTGAATGTTATCAACTGGACAAATTGAATGCAGTGGTCAAGAAAAAGCGACCAGAATTGGTCAATCGTAAAGGTGACATTTTCCACCAGGACAATGCTAAGCCGCACACGTCGTTGTCCACTCGGCAAAAATTGATGGATATTGATTGGGAATTGATGTTACACCCACCACATAGCCCTGATCTCGCGCCATCGGATTACCACTTATTTCGATCCCTGGACAACTCCCTTCGTGGTAAAACTTTTAATGATGATGACGCTGTAAAATCTCACTTAACTCAGTTTTTGGCCGTAAAGGATCAGACTTTCTACGAGCGTGGAATTTTCAAGTTGTCGGAGAGATGGCAAAAGGTCATCGAACACAATGGAAAATACATTACAGATTAAACTTCGTTCCAAGTAAAAAAAATTTTTCATTTCATTGAACAAATCGGCAATTACTTAGTTGCCAACCCAATATATATACTATAAAATAAAATTATATCTGCTTGACAGATTAGGTGTTCGATGCAGCAAACAAAATCCATTTTTACCAGAGTATTCGAGAATCGCACAGTTTTCGCCGAGACGTCTCTGTTTGGGTTGAGAATGTCTGGAGCGTTCGTCTTTTTGAAAACAGTGCGGCTCGAACGGAATAAGCTCAGCCGTTCCGTCACCGTGTCTTGCATTGCAGGTATTCCAATTACGCGCTCACATATTCCAAGGTCGCTTTGATCCCGGGATGGACGCATCCGGCTTATTGGATCCACTCGTACGTGTTGCGTTTCATGGTTACTCAGCCGTCACCAGAGTAAGTTTTCTAGGTCGATATAGAATTCACCCGGTCTCGGTGACAAGTGGGCGGGAGTCGCGTTATTATCACAAGCCCGGAGCCTTCTTTTGTGAACAGACACGGCCCCGCTGTCGGTAAATGGATTCCCGCGGTCTCTGTCAGCGACGCGCACCCAATTTTCGGCCTTTATCCGGCTCCTCGCATAGTCCCGAGCCTATCCGACACGCTTTTCCTCTGCCACCATCTTCTTAATTGCTTCTTCGCCGAAAACCCGGGATTTCTGCGCATAAGGTCGCGCGAAGGTAGCGTGAAATCAATTTAAAAATCCTGTCCATTGAAAATATTTTTGAAGAGCCTCCTTCGCGATGCAGCCTTCGAAATATCCAGGTTTCGTAAAGCAGTTTTAACCCTCGCAAGAACGGCGGCTGGGTCAATTTTCACTGAATAATTATTCAATTTTTGACTATTAAATAAAATAAATTGCTCCCATCAGGAGCAACGGAGAGGTTCCGCAGGAAATATCTTGAAAAATGTGTTTCGAAAAATTGCCGAATTATCCGCCGTCCGTGGGTTAATCGCCGGCGGAAGATACCGTGCAGCCAGAAATCGTGAAAACTAACTTGCAGGCCGGTTGATAAACATGTTCGGGTTCAGGCTCGCTGCGAAATTACGGGACGATTTAATAGTAGCTTCCGCGCATCCAATATCAGTGGCAGCGGAAAGTAGCAAAGCGCTGCATCTGGCAGAGAGAGCGTCGAATCGATATGCACACCTAAATTCGCAACTTCGTGTACCATTGCTCAGGGGGATTCCGTGTTACCGTTAGCAAAGGGAACTAAACGCGATGTAAGCGTCAATAGATCTATGTGTATCTAAAATGATTATTGACTCGTTAAAAGGGGATTATTGTATAAATAAAGAAATTACGTTGCAAGTTCACGCAAACTGAAGGATAACGCTCCTTATTTCTCACAGCGAGAAAAATGTGACTTACGCCGCTATCGCACGCTCGCATAGTAACAAAATTAACTGAAACAACAACATTGTTCTTAACCTTTTAGGTACGGCTGAATTCTGCGCGAGGCTATTTCTCTGGACGGCAGAGTCTGATATGTAACTATACAGAGTGTCTGTACATTCTGTCTGTATATTGTTAAGACACAGTTATATTGTTAACAGTTATATTGTTAAGATAAGTCTGTATATTGTAAATCGATGTGAAGACAACAGAAGTGTGAAACAATGCATATGATGACGATTATTTGATTCAAACGATGCCCGAGTGAGCTACTAGAGTAAGCCACTATAATGGTGCGTCGTTCAGAGAGATGACATCCGCGGAAGCCACTATAGTGGCGCGTCGTGCCTAAAAGGTTAAAAAATTGTCGAAACAATTTTTGGCGTTTCCCAGGCGATCAAGCAGACTCTGGATCCCTTCTGGGATCAAACGCTGATCCTGCCGCCTCGAACCATTTACGGAACGAAGGACTCGATCAAGAAGCACCCTCCGAGCGTGGTGGTGGAGGTGTACGATCAGGACATATGCGTGAGTGTTTCATAATTTTCGCGCGACGGACCCGTTTAATTAAATGGCGGCGCGGCACCGCGACCGGGGAACTAGTTCGAGCTGTGTAACACAGGCGAATCGGAATTCGCAGGGCATCAAGGAGTTCTGCGGAAGATGCACAGCCATCCCATTAGTTAAACTCGCGGAGGAAACTTACTCGCCACCTGATTTCCCACCGAAACTTGAGTGGTACAAATTTAAATCGCAAAGGGACTCCACCGGCTCCGTGCTCGCTGCCTTCGAGCTGATAGAGGTGAGCGAGGCGATACTGATCGATAGTCGCGAGGCGAGGGCTTCTGCGGGCCTCCAGGATTTCTCTGGCACCCTTCTCGCAATTTAATTTCGCCACGGATTACACTCTGCCCGCTGGAACGATTTCGACGGAACATTTTCATTTGATCGACTCAGTTTTGGATTGATAATTATGGTCCTTGATAGATGTTAAAGACATTTTTAATGATGTGAGGATTTTAGGTGAATTTTCTCTTTGATGGAACGTCGAGAATACGCGGAACATTTATATTTGATAAACTCAACTTTAAGTAAATAATTGGGGTTTCGGATAGAGATTTAGGCAAACTTTAATAACGTGAAAATTTTAGTTGATTTTTCTCTCCGATGGAACGTCGAAAATACTACGTGGAATATTTCTATTTTATCTATTGTACTTAATTTTAGATAAATAATTGTGGTTTCGAATAGAGATTTAGGGAAACTTTAACGATATGAAAATTTTAGTTAAATTTTCTCTCGGAACGTCGAACATAATACGCGGAACATTTCTATTTGATCTATTTAATTTTAGATAAATAATTGTGGTTTCGAATAGAGATTTAGGGAAACTTTAATGAAAATTTTAGTCGAATTTTCTCTCCGATGGAACGTCGAAAATACTACGCGGACATTTCTATTTTATCTATATACTTTGAAATAAATAATTGTGGTTTCAGATTGAGATTTAAGGAAACATTAATAACGTGAAAATTTCAGTTGAATTTTCTAGAATATCTCGACACAGTTTCGAACGAATTAATCAATTTACTTTCAAGCCGGCTAATTCTGACGTTGCATAAAAGTTCCAACAATCAACTTTATTCGAGAACGGCGAAATAATGTTTCGCTTCAAAAAAAGAGTCTGAAAAGAATAATCCAAGTTTGACTTGTTTGAGACAATGACATGTCCGAGCTCCAGCGTTTTGATAGTTTCACGAATTTGATAAAGGATTGATGCGAAAGGTAAAATACATTTCGAGGGCCGGGAAATATTTTCAAAAATGTCACACGCTCGCGGGAACAACCATCTGTCATATTCATAACCGTGGACATTTTTCGCGAAATTATTCCGCGATGAGGTTCGACTGCGAAATAACAATTTTGCGTGTGAACGAAGAATGTACGAAGCGAACTAAATTTTCGAGCGCACTTGGTCCGAGAACTGTCGAAGGGGACGGGATCGGATAGTTTCGGGAAGAATTGATAGCGGAGTTCTATTTAGCGAGCGAAGTTAGTTTACCAGACGCAAATGGAGGGTAGTTCGGCGGATTCGCCAGTTTCGTGACACTTTGCGCGAAGCGTACGGTTCCTTCCGTGGCCTGAAGTTAAACGATTTCGTTGGCTCGCCGAATACAGATGTTCCCCGTCGAAATCTCTGTGCGCCACTTAGGTCGGGGAAGACGGGGCGACGGACGAGCCGATAAGCGGCGCGAAACAGGAGATTGTATACAGCATACCGGAAGACATCAGACCGAAAATGGCGAGCTACCGGCTCGAAGTAATATTTTGGGGCGTTCGGGACATGAAGAAGATAAATTACGTGCCGGTTCTGAGGCCACGGATTATTATAGAGTGCGCCGGGGTCGACGTCAAGTCCGAGGTGATGGAGAACGCGAAGAAATTTAGTAATTTCGAGGAGCCTCGTATCGTCGTCGACTTGGTAACGAGTGCCTTCGACACCTTTTTTCTTCATTTCACCGTTTCGTCGTTCAGAATCCCAGCGAACCTGATGAATTCGAGACGAACGCAGAGCCCTCAAAATCAGAGTTCAGCGGAATTACAATTTATTTACCCGGAGAACTATGATTACAAAGTAATTCGACTGCATTATAATTCAAGAAAATTCACTGAATCAAATTAGAATGTAATTCGTAATTGCAACTGGAATGCGATAACAAAATGCTGAGCAATTGAATTGAAATTCCAGAACACTAAGTAATTGAATTAAAATTACGATTTACGATGTAATCGTAGGTTAAAATGGACAAATTCTGCAGAGGAATTCGCAGACGAACGGTTCGAAAATTTCCTTTGGGACCAATCGAATTCGAAATGAATTACGACTCTGCATTCCTTCTTGATCGTTATTTAATATTTATAGCCTGGGACTCTCGAACGATACCGATATTTATTGACATTTCGAAAGCTATCGCGGTTTAACGTTCACGGTTGCAAATTTTGGCGAAGGAAATGCCTGAGCTGGAAGTCTACTATCCCTCTGTCACCATAAAAGCTTACGACTCGCGTGGATTTGGCTGCTTTAAGTACGCCGGTATATGCATCGTACCGAGCGTTCACGTCTTCCTGGAGCAATTAATAACGGAAGAGGATTACGATGCGCAGATATACCAGACGAAATTGAAGTCTCTTTGGACGAAGAAGCAATCCGTCATTCGTTAGTTTTCAGACGCGAGAAGCGCCGACCTATGAACTATCTCATTCGCTATCGGATTTTCAAAACTAATTTTCAGAACTTCTTGCGACTAATTCAAACTTTATTTGCAAAATCGTTGCACGGAAAACGAACGCTTACCGCGAAATCAAAAGAAATTCTATGCAGAGTAAATTCTGACAGAATAAATTCTATGCAGAGTAAATTCTTATAAAATAAATTTTATGCAGAATAAATCTTATACAGAAAAAATTCTGACAAAATAAATTTTATGCAGAATAAATTCTGATAGAATAATTTCTATACAAAATAAATTCTGATAATATAAATTCTGATAGAATAAATTCTATACAAAATAAATTCTGATAATATAAATTCTGATAATATAAATTCTGATAGAATAAATTCTGATAATATAAATTCTGATAGAATAAATTCTAATAATATAAATTCTGATAGAATAAATTCTGATAATATAAATTCTGATAGAATAAATTCTATACAGAATAAATTCTGACACAATAAATTCTATACAGAATAAATTCTGACACAATAAATTCTATGCAGAATAAATTCTTACAAAACAAATTCTGAAAGAATAAATCCTGACAAAATAAATTCCGACCGAGCAAACACATTTGACAATTTACATGAACCGGTCCCGAAGTAAAAAATCTCGAACACGAACTAATTATTCAGAGATTTTCGCGTGCTAGAAATATTCTCGGCCGCACCGCAAACACAATAAACTAATGAACAAATACCGGCTATGACAAAACGGAATAACAATTCCATTCCGCCCCGGTGTTTGTCCGATGATGAATAACGGGGGCTGGTCGGATGTTTAAACATACCGAACGTTTCCCCGCATCGCAACTGCTTATTAAATATTTGAGCTGGCTCGTTGAACACCGGGACGCGGCATTGATTCGAAACTTTCCCTCCGTGAGTTAATAACGCCGTGGAAAATCCTGTTCTCACCCGCACGCAACGGAAAACTTTGTTAATTAAAGTTCGCGGCCGAGCATTTATCCGCTTCGGCGCGAAGCTGAGCGTTTTTTGTCAGCGATGGAATGTCGAAAACATTAACCGGCCCGGTCAGGGGGCGAGAATTACCCGGCAAGCGTGTTCATTTACCCGACGGCGCACGGTGACGCGAGCAATGGAAAACAAATCAAAAAATCGATACTTCTTTTTATAACGTAATCGTATTTCGAGTAAAATTTTCCTGGTGGTAGAAACAGCGGTGATCGATCGCTTATAAGAAATAGGGGATGAAATATTTTCGCTCGTGGTCCGACGAGCCGCCGTCAAAACACACGATGTTATCGTTCCTCGAGCATGACACTCGATTTCTTATCAAGTGCCATTGCCGATCGACTACGACTCGACGAGGGACGAGAACAAAGGCTTGATCCCGTACAAGAAGATGGCCGGCGAGGATTCCCCTCTGAGGATTCTCGGGATCCTGCGGTCAGTGAAGAAGCTGTTCGCGCGTTTGCTGAACACGGGGGCCAGGAAGAAGAAGCGGAAAAGGGCGGAACGTGCGAAGGAGGAGGACGAGTCGCTCGATTGGTGGAGCAAATATTTCGCTTCCCTAGAGGTAAGCGAACAATCCGATAGAGTTAATGTCCCTATCGCCGGCCCTGGTAGAATCTGATTGCTTTTCGGACAGCTTCTTGCCGAAACTAAACGGAAACGTTCCTTGGATGCTCTCTGGAATCCTTGGCGTTTCTCGAGTTTATCCGGTCAATTTGTACCGAACGAATTCATTCGAGCGAGCTATTTTCGTTGAACACTCGTCGCGCTCGCGATTAGACAGTTGCTTGCTTGCGTTGATGACGAACATCGTTTGGCTATTAGCCATTCAAGATTCAACTGCGGAGTATTCGGAATACATTGTTTTCTTATTATTTCGACTAGCCAATCGAATATATTTCAATATCGAATCGAATCGACGGAGTTCTGAAGACGTTCGCTCCGTTGTTTTCAGGGCCGCAGTTTATTGTCTTGCAACGCTGTACAATTTTTATGCCAATAGATTTCTGCCATTCCGTTTGAACTCTTCGTTCTTCTCAAATTCGTAGTTGATGCTCCTGATTCTACTTTGATCCGCAGAACGCCTTTGTACTTGCAACGCTAAATAATGTAACAAAGTCTAATTCTCTTCTTGTCGGAATTATAAATTATTCTTTGATCGCGAACTTGTAGCTGCCATGATAAAAGCGTCGGCCCGGTAACAGTATTCATCGGATAAACTTAAATGCACTTTACAGTCATTTCTCCCAGAAATGTAAAAAGAAATGAAATGAAACTCGGAGCAGTCGGCAAAAAAGGCAGCGGTGTACATTAATATGTATATATAGTGATGCTAGAATAAAAACGATTTTTTATTTCTAATTTCTTTCGCACGATTCGAAGGCAATTTGGAGGTCACATGATACGATTCGAAGGAAATTCGGAGGCCACATGACACGATTCGAAGGCAATTCGGAGGCCACATGGCACGATTCGATTTGTATTGTCTTCCAAGAACTCCGTCGACCCTTGGCACCGACGTAGCAATAAATTACATAGGCGTAGCACTAGCACAGGGGAATTCGCAGCAACTCGAAATTTGACATTTCCGGTAGAAATTACCGTACATTGAAATCGTCGCGCGGATTCAGCAGCGAAGCTTGCTGTTTTTCAGGAGGAGCGGCACAGGGAGCTCGGAATCTTAGCCGCTCGTGGTCCCGAACGCGTCGCGACGTTCAAGGTACTACGATTTAGCGCGTTTACAGCGGCTCACCTGTCTGATTCGACGGCAAACAGGTATACGACGGGGAATTGGAGGTGCAACCGCAGTTCGCCGGGTTTCAGGACCGTCTGAGGACGTTCGAGCTGTGGATGGGCAGCAGAAGCGAAAATCCTGATTACGACAGCGATAATTACGTCGGCAAATTCAAGGTTTGCTTGAAACTTGCGCCGATAATTAATGGGCAGCGCGATTGGGACTGATGTGAAACGCGATATCGAAATGCATTGTTTCGTCTCGAATGTCGGTTTCGTGGGCGGTCTTCGATCCTCCGCGTTGCTATCGTAACGTCTAATATTACGAACGACGTTATAGTTCGTTTGCGGGCGAGTGCGAAAAATGTCGAACGAGAACACTGACCAAGTGAAATTCAAACTGATTAGGTGAAACAGAGTAGTGCTAAATTGAATTACGTAATTAAACTATATTGTATTTCAATTACATGTAATTAAACTATATTGTATTTCAATTACATGTTATTAAACTATATTTTATTTCAATTACATGTAATTAAACTATATTGTATATCAATTACATGTAATTCAACTATATTGTATTTCAATTACATGTAATTAAACTATATTGCATTTCAATTACATGTTATTAAACTATATTTTATTTCAATTACATTTAATTAAACTACATTGTATTTCAATTACATGTAATTAAACTATATTGTATTTCAATTACATGTAATTAAACTATATTACATTTCAATTACATGTAATTTAGCTATATTGCATTTCAATTACATGTAATTAAACTATATTGCATTTCAGTTACATGTAATTAAACTATATTGTATTTCAATTACATGTAATTCAACTATATTGTATTTCAATTACATGTAATTCAACTATATTGTATTTCAATTACATGTAATTCAACTATATTGTATTTCAATTACATGTAATTCAACTATATTGTATTTCAATTACATGTAATTAAACTACATTGTATTTCAATTATATGTAATTAAATTATATTGTATTTCGATTACTAATTATTTTAATGCCGAGTGTAATTCAAATACAATGTATATAGTTGAATTAATTGTAATTTAATTATTTCGTAATTATAATTCCTTGATTAATTCAATTATAATTCTGCACAACTCTGACGTAAAAGCACCTATCACGAAACATTGCTTCAATTGTAACGCCAACTCGAAACAGTAGGACAGATAATGCAATAAATAACAGATAGAGCATATGAAAGCGGTTATAAAAATTCCAGTCATAAATTTGAACGTCGTTCTGTATAAATTCACGAGAAAATTGAAATAATAAATGAAAATTTTCGAGCGCTTTATTAGAACATCTTAATGTTTACAAGTTCCCGTATTCTCCGCCGAATACCGTTCATTTAAGACGCCAAATACCAGCCGTTGCTTGCAAGATACCGGGTTTCTTTGAGAAATAAACTCTCCTCCGGCGTGTTGCCTGCGTAAACAGAAAACACTATTTAAGAAAACGTGTCACTTAGAGTTAAAAATACTCGAAGCCACTCGCCGCCTTTAAATAACACGTTAAAAGTCTGTTTAATCAGCCACCATTAACGAACCTGGAGCGTCGCCAAGCAAGGAGTATCTGCTTTCCGGTGAACAATTAGAAGATAATTTTCACGATTCAACGACTACGTTCCGCCGCTATACTTCCATCAACGGGAATAGAATCTTCCCGTTCCTCGTCGTTCGTTATGTAATTCTCCTTAATTGGTCCGTTACTTTGCAAAATTCCCTATCATTTATTTGTTCCAGTCGATACTCGTTTGCCAGCAATCGTTATTAAATTCAATCGGTGCGAAGAGCGCGATGTTAATAAGAAAGAATTGCTAGACTTCTAAATATAGCGTTGAAAAATATAAATGAAAGAAATCTATAACCGAACTGCAAAACTATCAATTATTAATAGAATTACGTGAGATTCTTATCTTATTTCATTCTCAATAAAATTCTCAAATATTTGTACACGCGTAGACCAATGCGAAAATATTAATTATAATATTAAATATTAAAATATTAAACACGCTGCGATAATTTCAGTTAAAAACATCGCCTCAGCTGTAAATAATAAACTATAGCTATTTAATAAGTTATAAATAATAACTAGACTGCGGTTTTCTATGCAAGATACATCGAAATTTCTCCCGTTCGTTAATAATTTTAATAGCTCAAAAACGATCCTAATTCTAGCCTTAAATATTTTTATCTTTTTACCGTTTAAAATGTTACGTGATCAATTGCATAATAAATGCATAATACTGTTTTATCAAAATTGTGTAATAAATGCCCAAAAATCTCCTTACACTATTTAGAACTATAGAATATTGAATTTAAAGGAAAAAAGGTTATTTGCTCGATGAGAACGAGTAACGAAAGGATTGATTTTCAGGGCAAGATCTGCGTGTACCGGTGGCCTCATCCGGACGGTGCGACCTGTAAAACGAAAACCGGGAGGAACGTCGTCGACGGAATATGCGACGACTATCCGTCGCCAGAGGTCGTCAGACTTCTGGTTAGACTGTACGTAGTGAAGGGTGAGTAGCTAGTGAACGACACTTCTTCATCGACCCGCGCGACCAACTGATGGAAACGGATCGATCCTCTCCGCCAGGCATCAACTTACAGCCTAACGATCCCCTAAGCGGGAAGTCCGACCCGTATCTCTGCGTTAGCCTCGGAAAAACGTTCATCAACGACAAGAAGAATTATATACCCAACCAGCTGAACCCCACCTTCGGGAGGTAAACTGACGGTTTAATATACGATTAGATCTTCAACCTTTTTTTTCCCCGCTGTCGATGATCCGATCCGACGAGTCGGGCTTTGGCCATGTATGTTTGGACTGCTCCTCGAATAAGGATAAGCTCTCGAAACGATTTAACCCTCGTCCGTCCCTCGTGTCGATTTCGCACAGCACCTTCACGGACTCTGGAGAAACAGTCCGGTCCATAAATCATTTTATTAGCTCTGAACAACGCGAATAATCGACGTTAAAACTTGTCACATGTTGTCTTAGGCTTTCATTTTTAACAATATCGGTATAATATGAATTTATTGTTGTAATCCAGGCGCATAATGGGGTAAGTCGCATCTTAGAAGATTTTTACTTATGTCTTAAAATGTAATATAATAGTAATAATAATAGTAAATTTACTTATCGACAGGACGGACTTTAAATAGTATTTGTATAGTAGTAATAGTATTTTATCAATAGTATTTGATTGTTCGATAAATAAAGTTAGTATTATATATATAATATTATATTATAGAATTATATAAATATATTATAGCTGTCTCTTATACACATCTAGATGTGTATAAGAGACAGGTATTATATATATAATATTATATTATAGAATTATATAAATATATTATAGATATTATATATATATAAATTCTATAATATATTTATATATAAAATATAATATTATATATATATATATATATATAATATATTTATATAATTCTATAATATAATATTATATATATAATACACTCTAACTTTATTTATCGAACAATCAAATACTATTGAGTTACTTATTCATCTGGAGTGACAATATTATTGTACGAAAGATCCTAAAAAAAAGGAACGTTTTTAATGCTCTTGCTTCTACTGAATCAACAAAGTAAGGACAACTGATTTTGATTTTTTAGTTAACACTTTTATGTGAATAAAAATTAGACTGTGGATTTCATGCACTTATAACACAAATGAGTAGGTGAAACAGGAAACAGTGACACTGTTAGGAGAATTGAACAATTTTTGATCATATTATTTATAGCTTATTAAAATCATTCGAAACATACATAAATGTCTATGAATTTCCTGTTTATTGCAATCGATGCGCAACATTTTTATTTTTCAGCAACATTATACGTTATAATAAACATCGTAGAAACGTTCTAACAATCATCACAGAAACATCATAATAAACATCATTTTGCAGTAAACATTAGCGATCTGTGACATGCGATCTAACAGCGGTTACGTAAGTTTTCATAGGTGTAGTAGTCAAGGGTTAAAGGAAGAATTCACGAAATGTATTACTTAATGTTCCATCTGATTCATTCGTTACCATTGCGTCAACTTGCTATCAAAGGATAGATTGTGCTGTAGAAACGAGGGACGGATGAGGGTTAACGTCGCTGTATCTTGCCATCTTTATCGTAGTCGTTCGCTTAATAGCTTTCGATTCATTTTTCATACCTTAATGAGATCTCTGGCTGCGATCCGAGATAAGAAGTTTTGAAGAACAATTAGCAAAAAGTGCTTGCAGGCTTTTCGAGATCGAGGCCTCCTTTCCTCAAGACTATCTGATGGTGATCCAAGTCTGGGACTACGACGCGACCTCCTCGGACGATCTGATCGGCGAGACGAAGATCGACCTGGAGAATCGATTCTACAGTAGGCACCGAGCGACCTGCGGACTGTCGCAAAGATACAATTCGTCCGGCTACAATGCCTGGAGAGATCGCGAGAAACCGACGCAGATCCTGCACAGTCTCTGCAAGAGGAACAACCTACCTTTGCCAGAATATAGAAAGGACGACGTGAAAATCGGTCGCAGAAAATTTCCCTGTGTCGATGTCGAATTGACGGAGGCTGGTACGTACGAACAATTCGAGCATGGCAATTTTTCTTGGCGAGGAGAATTGATTTTTCTTAGCAGTGGAATTCTCAGAGTTCTAAATTCCCCCTAATTGACCCTCAGCTTGTACACAAAAATGGGCAATTTGGGAAGAGGAACAACGATTTTTCTTAGCAGTGGAATTCTCAGAGGTCTAAATTCTCCCTAGTTGACCCTCAGCTTGTACATAAAAATGGGCAATTTGGGAAGAGGAACAACGATTTTTCTTAGCAGTGGAATTCTCAGAGGTCTAAATTCTCCCTAGTTGACCCTCAGCTTGTACATAAAAATGGGCAATTTGGGAAGAGGAACAACGATTTTTCTTAGCAGTGGAATTCTCAGAGGTCTAAATTCTCCCTAGTTGACCCTCAGCTTGTACATAAAAATGGGCAATTTGGGAAGAGGAACAACGATTTTTCTTAGCAGTGGAATTCTCAGAGGTCTAAATTCTCCCTAGTTGACCCTCAGCTTGTACATAAAAATGGGCAATTTGGGAAGAGGAACAACGATTTTTCTTAGCAGTGGAATTCTCAGAGGTCTAAATTCTCCCTAGTTGACCCTCAGCTTGTACATAAAAATGGGCAATTTGGGAAGAGGAACAACGATTTTTCTTAGCAGTGGAATTCTCAGAGGTCTAAATTCTCCCTAGTTGACCCTCAGCTTGTACATAAAAATGGGCAATTTGGGAAGAGGAACAACGATTTTTCTTAGCAGTGGAATTCTCAGAGGTCTAAATTCTCCCTAGTTGACCCTCAGCTTGTACATAAAAATGGGCAATTTGGGAAGAGGAACAACGATTTTTCTTAGCAGTGGAATTCTCAGAGGTCTAAATTCTCCCTAGTTGACCCTCAGCTTGTACATAAAAATGGGCAATTTGGGAAGAGGAACAACGATTTTTCTTAGCAGTGGAATTCTCAGAGGTCTAAATTCTCCCTAGTTGACCCTCAGCTTGTACATAAAAATGGGCAATTTGGGAAGAGGAACAACGATTTTTCTTAGCAGTGGAATTCTCAGAGGTCTAAATTCTCCCTAGTTGACCCTCAGCTTGTACATAAAAATGGGCAATTTGGGAAGAGGAACAACGATTTTTCTTAGCAGTGGAATTCTCAGAGGTCTAAATTCTCCCTAGTTGACCCTCAGCTTGTACATAAAAATGGGCAATTTGGGAAGAGGAACAACGATTTTTCTTAGCAGTGGAATTCTCAGAGTTCTAAATTCTCCCTAATTGACCCTCAGCTTGTACACAAAAATGGACAATTTTGGAAGAGATTATTCGAGCCTTGCGGCTCATTTTTATAGTTGCCGATTGTCAATAATTATAAAAATTATTTCCTCTTCCCAAATGGTCCATTTATGTTTACAAGCTGAAAGAAAATTAAGAAGAATTTATTATATCTCTAAATCTTAGGCTCGAAGATTTACGCGTTCACCAATTTTCAATCGGTTTTGATATAATCGCACAGCCAAATTATATCTCTCATATATTAATTTGTACTGTTCAGTATAAAAAACTGTTTTACGTAGTATTAACCATTTTTTTTCGTTCATAAGATGGTGGAGGATATCTCAAGGTCAACTTGATCTATTTAAATCAGCCTATAAACTTTTCTATTTGTATTACGACTCAATACGTTAGACGAAACACACACACTCTGTACATTGAATAAATAACTCACAAATGTATCTTGACGGTCTGAATAATCGTAAATGAGAGAATTAGTGACCCGTTATTTCGACGGGTTCCGCAAATCCAGTGGTTAAATAACGGTTGAATTGAAGCACCGCATTTTAGTCACGCCTTCCATCGTATGAATCCGAAATGCCAAAGAAATCGAAACTCCACGCCAAAGGGAACGGAAACGTCTGTCTTAATCTATCGCGCATGAAAAGGTAAAGGGATTCGATTTGATCGGTGTGTGTGATCGATGGTTTTTATTCAGATCGGGAAGAATGCCTGGCGCTGAACGTGCTTCATCATTGGCATGATTTCCCCGTTTGCGGTTGCACCCTGGTCCCAGAGCACGTCGAGCGACGGCCGCTTTTTAATGCCGCGAAGCCCGGTTTGGAACAGGTTCTATATACATAGAATACGAGTGGTTGTACGTACAATTAAGAGAGGGGACAAAATGTTTTTTTGTTCGCCAGGGGGAACGCGAGAATAAAAGCGACGGAGCTTTCGGGAGGGCGGAAGGTTGCGCGAACGGATTCGATTGGCCCATTTCGGGGCCAAAGGAAATATTATTTCGCCGACCCTCGCTTCCCGTCGAATGTTCCTTTTGTCGGAGCGCATAAAGCCCTTCGACAGAACGCGCGCTAATATCTTGCTGTCGGCTCGCCGTTATTTTTCGGACGATTTATGGCGATCTTTTGAAACGGGAAAATGTGTCGTCGGAATTTGCGCGGCACAGGCACTAGACAATGACAAACATCCTGTTTAGAAAAATTGCAATTGGCTGGCATGATGAAAGAATTATAATATAACGAATATGACAAAATACAGCGAAATGTAATGAAATATAGCAAAATACAGGGTGTTCCACAATTATTTTAACAGCCGAAAATGAGGGGTAGCTGAGGTCATTTGAAGTAACTTTATCCTTTGCGAAAATGCAATCTGCGGCTTTGTTTACGAGTTATTAACGGAAAACACTGACCAATGAGAGGTGACGGCGCGAAGTTCGAGAGCCCGCAGCACGAGGCTTTGACAGATGATCGGGACGGACTCGAGCCGCGTTCGAAGTATTGAACAAATCACGAAGCGAGAACTTTCCGTATTTTTTTTTTACTACGTAACAGTGATATTTTTAAGAAAAACGCTGTTCACCTTTACTTTAGAACGTCTGAAGAATATTTACTAATTTTTCGAACCTGAAATAGTAAGTAATTTAACCGTGACGACCGTTTTAATTTTCTAGTGTGCATGACTCCTTGTGAAGGTGTACAGTGACCTCGACATAACCTTGACATAACCTTGACATGACCTAGACCTGACCTTGATATGACCTTTCCATATTTCTCTAACAAACATATCCCTTACGTCCTTTAACACGATTATTATTTATTAAATTAGCTTTGCGAATCATTCGTTTGAACTGTGTTCAGACACGGAATTATTTAAATTAAAATATCATTTACGTACTTTGTTAATCTTCACTGTACACCTTGCTTAAAAATTTCACATGTTGACCTTGACATAACCTTGACATGACCTTGACATAACCTTGATATGACCTTGACGTGACCTTGACATAACCTTGATATGTCAAGGTCACGTCAAGGTCATATCAATGTTATGTCAAGGTCATGTCAAAGTCATATCAAGGTTATGTAAAGGTCACGTCAAGGTCATGTCAAGGTTATGTCAAGGTCAGCATATGAAATTTTTAAGCAGGGTGTACAGTGAAGATTAACAAAGTACGTAAATGATATTTTAATTTAAATAATTTTCATCCAAAAAGTGGCGATCTTTACATCTTTCGCAATCGATTTCAATATAATTTTGAGCATGTGTTCAAGTCACCGAGGTCCACAATGAACATTGTTTAAATTTTCGTTGCAGGTTCAGACAAAAAAGGTAAAAAAGCATGATCTTTTAATTCGTTCATCGTGCCAATCAATCGCAATTTTTCGAAACAACTTTTCTTTTCATTAATATCTACGGTTCTATCGCAACGTTTGTACCGGCCCCGTCAAAACTTTTGAGAATTGCTACCGGTTGCTCGAATTCAGCTGCGAGCTAATCGAATAATCTTTGGTGCGCCAATTCAGCCGGATTTTCCAAAGCCGACGCGCGTCAATCGCAGATCGGGATTCCCGCCGGGATGGCAGAAAAATTAATATAGCCGGTCGGAGAAGTATTACGGAAACCACATAATTTATGAAACCCGATGAAACTTAATTTATCGAACGTCGGTATAGTTAAGTTCATTTTCAGCGAGACCGGCGCGGCGTTTCGCTGAAGTTCGCTGGAGCTCGTTTATCCTTTAAAACGATTTCGATATCGAGCTATTTCGGGTTGTAAAATCAACCGTTCCGCATCAAAGCTGCACGAGTATCGTTAATCAATAGCCCTTAGACGAATTTTGATCAAAAATAGATCCGACGAACGGCTCGAAATGCAATTTTCCGGGCGCGAGGCGAGGCGAGGCGAGGCGAGCCGGGTCGATCGATTTATTAGCCGAATGATACACGATGGAGGGCCGGGAGGGGGCGGCTGGAAAATTGCAAGGTTTTTTCGGGCCGCGTAAATATTCAATGGCGGGTCTCCGATGGCGGTTCCAGTGCATCGGCGATCGATGTTCCACAGGGCAAGCTGGAGCTTTGGATCGACACGTTTCAATTCGGCGAGCTGCCGCTGAAACCGGCGTCGGACATCAGGCCGCTGATGCCGCAAGAATACGAGATTCGCATAATCGTTTGGAATACCGAGGATGTGCCTCTCGTCGATAGCCAATTTCTTACCGGGGAGAAGTGCTCCGACGTTTACGTGAAAGGGTACGCCTCAGTACGACGATCGCGGATGAAATGGTACCTCTTAAATCTCCGGAGCACAGAGCACCGCGCGCACTTGTGCCACACAGGAATTTCGTTCACGATTTCCCGGGGAAAAACTCGCGACACGAGCGTCTGCTTTCTATCGCGCGGACGTGAATTACCCCGGCCGACATATTTTTACATTTCTCTGCGTAACCGGCGCACCATTACCATAAATTCTTTCAATTTAACTTCGAGGAAATGGTACTCGCCGGCTTTGAGAATTTTTCCCTGCTTTAACGGCGTTGCAGCCATGCTAACGATTCTTACGTAGAACGACTCTATAGGCGCTCCCAGAGACAACGACGTAGATTTTAATAACATGAATTTAAGTTCTTAATAACGCGAATGTTTAAACCTGTTCCTTTTTAAGAGGTCCACTTCTTCGTTTCGTAGGCTGGAAATGAACCTATTTCACTGCTAACTGCGAGTTATCTCGTGGTAGGCGCCCACCACGACGCGTCTGCTAAAGCTTCATTACTAACAACAGGGAAGGATTTATTATTTTTTTAGTTATTATTATTTTTTTTTATTTATTATTATTTTTTACTTATTATTATTAGCCTTTATTTATCATTATCTTGTACTTATTGTTATTTTTTAGTTACTAATATTTTGTGCTTATTACTTTTTCCTTTCTTGTTATTATTTATTTGTTACAAAAAAGATCTCGGTCTCTAGAACACATTTCTTTGAAATAGGCTTCTCCGTATTGGCAGTGATTGCATCAAAAGATTGGAAGAAAATCTAACTGCATCGCGTGATAATGCAGTTCTGCTTTTTTCGAATGTTGTAGAAAAAAAGTGAGCTCCCAAATTTGTTTTTCAATCGACGAAATAAAACAGACGAACTTTACGTTAATAGGTGAATTGCGTACGTAGAAATAGGCGCAGAATTAGGCGAAGAATTCAATGAGGATTTCGCAATGATAGCGTTCGATGCTCGCTACTTAAATTTCCATCTAATGCCGATAACGATGTGTTAACAATGGCGCGGCATTATCTGGCGCGATTAGTAACTTGATGTGAAACGATAATTGGGAGATGAAACGCAGACTATGCTTCCGCCGTTGGCAATAAGCGGAGTAGTTACAGAGAGAAATGGGCAGACAAATGGCCGAAGAATCAATTCACCGCGGTTTCCACTGATATTCATAGCTTTACGATAACATAAATTAAAGAATTATTGATACCTCGATTTATGATATTACGTTATTAATATTTTGACGTATGAATTTAATGAGAAAAGCTTGATACTTCATTTTTCAAAATTTTGAAAAATCCTTCCAGTTTCGCTTATATATTACTGAAGACCATGAAAAATTTCAAATTTCACCAAACAAGTAACATTTTACACGCGAATAAATTATTCGTGAATGAACTATTCGCAAATAAATTATTCGCGAATAAACAATCTGTGAATATCTTATTCACTAATGAGGCAATAATAAATTATTCGCGTATAAAATTATTCGTAAATAAAGATTGTTCGCGAATAAAGTTCTGCTAATAATTATCTAGAAAAATGATTAGTAAGTAAGGCTCAATGGCTCATTTGTTAAAAACATTTCACATCGTCAACTCGGAACTCGATCGTTTCGCGTTTCATCGATCGGAGCACGAAAAGATCGCGCGAAAAATTGCCCACACCCCATTGAATAGTTCGAGCATGTTCTCCGAAAGTGCTGTGCAATAAAAAGGGCGTAATGTTCGCTGGAAGGTTGAAAGGGCCGTGGTCGGTTCCAGTTGGATCCTTTACGACGATTACCAGAAGACCGACGTCCATTACAATTCTCTGAACGGCGAGGGCAACTTCAATTGGAGGTTCATATTTCGCGTCACCTATTCGAAGGGCGAGCGAGTTATGGTCGTGCGGAGAAAGGTGTCCGTCTTGGCTAGGAGCGAGACCGAGGACAAATTGCCGTGCAAATTGCAGCTGCAGGTTTGGGACAGCGATCATTTCTCTCCGGACGATTTCCTTGGTACGCGGCCGCGTTGTTCTAATCGCAGAGAGCTAATTGCCGATATCGTCTCTGCGTGTGTAACCGAGATCATCGAGATCACCGAGATCACCGAGATAATCGATCGTCCCCAGGAGCCCTGGTTATGGATCTGTCGAGGATGCCGCGCGGAAGCCCGAATTCCAAAAACTGTACGCTGAAGCTGCTCGATCCCAAACTGCCCACCATGGATCTGTTCAAAGTGACCAGGATCAAGGCATGGTGGCCGTTCCAGAAGAGCGTGGCCACGGGAGAATACGTGCAGGCGGTTGGTTTCGTTAATTGTACCTCTCTCAGAATCATAGTGAAACCGGTTAATACAGTACATTCTCCCAAATTGACGCTCAGATTGCAAATAAATTATTGTACATAAGAATGGACAAATTGGCAAGAGAAGATACAATTATTCGAGCCTTGCCTGCTCGTTTTTATAGTTATTGAAAAAAACGAGCCGCAAGGCTCGAATAATCGTATCTCCTCTTCCCAAATTGTCCATTTTTGTGTACAATCTAAGCGTCAATTAGGGAGAATTTACTTTCACGAATTACCGTACGAAAATGTCACTCGAAAGTAAAACGTTAGGTAAGAGTGTAAATTTCTCTGACCATTAAAGTGACGCAAAGTCTTCGCGGAAGTTTTTGGCAAATTAAATATAGTTTCTTTTACCTTCATCGGACTTCTTAAAACACTTAAATTACATATTGTTGCCTTTGTTGCAAGTACGAATTTTTCCGTAATCGAAATACATAAAGAACGCATACTATTTAACAAACTATACAAAACAGCTTTTGAGCGAGTTATCGTGCTCCGAAACACATGAAAAGTTAATTAACGTTCTTGCTTCGCGAGATATTAATTAATGTCCTTGCCTGGCGAGACGCTCACACGGTGTAATGTATCGGTTCAGGGGAAAGTCGAACTGGAAATGTCAATATTACCAGCGGAGGAAGCCGACGAACAACCCGCGGGCAGAGGGAGGGACCCACCTCAGGAACTTCCGCCACCAAAGTACGATGAAACTTAATTAAAAACTATGAAACATTGTGTCGTAGGGCGGGCAAGTTTCTTCCGCGAAGGACTGTATCGCGGAAACGATATTTTTAATGAAATTCTGAAACTCCTCTATCGGATTCGCGGAGCCATTTCTTTCGTAATAGAAAAGTTGGACTTTCAACCAACTTTCCCCTTTATTATACGGTATTTAGGATATCTTATCTCGGTGAAAAATGAATCAAATTGCGTCAGCACGTTTAATTAATTAATTTCGTAATTTCGTACATTTTGTAGATTTCGTATATTTTGTATATATATTCGTGTATCTACTTCGTATATTTACTTCGTGTACTTCGTATTTTTACTTCGTATATTTACTTCATATTTAATACTTTGTATACTTTTATATACTTTTGTATACTTTGTATACTTTTATATACTTTTGTATACTTTGTATACTTTTATATACTTTTGTATACTTTGTATACTTTTATATACTTTTGTATACTTTGTATACTTTTATATACTTTTGTATACTTTGTATACTTTTATATACTTTTGTATACTTTGTATACTTTTATATACTTTTGTATACTTTGTATACTTTTATATACTTTTGTATACTTTGTATACTTTTATATACTTTTGTATACTTTGTATACTTTTATATACTTTTGTATACTTTGTATACTTTTATATACTTTTGTATACTTTGTATACTTTTATATACTTTTGTATACTTTGTATACTTTTATATACTTTTGTATACTTTGTATACTTTTATATACTTTTGTATACTTTGTATACTTTTATATACTTTTGTATACTTTGTATACTTTTATATACTTTTGTATACTTTGTATACTTTTATATACTTTTGTATACTTTGTATACTTTTATATACTTTTGTATACTTTGTATACTTTTATATACTTTTATATACTTTTCTATACTTTTCTATACTTTTCTATACTTTTCTATTCTTTTCTATACTTTAATATACTTTTCTATACTTTTCTATACTTTTCTATACTTTTCTATACTTTTCTATTCTTTTCTATTCTTTTCTATACATTTCTATACTTTTCTATACTTTTCTATACTTTTCTATACTTTTCTATTCTTTTCTATACTTTTCTATACTTTTCTATACTTTTCTATACTTTTCTATACTTTTCTATACTTTTCTATATTTTTCTTTACTTTTCTTTATTTTTCTATACTTCTCTATACTTTTCTATACTTTTCTATACCTCTCTATACTTTTCTATACTTTTCTATACTTTTCTATACTCTTCTATACTTTTGTATATTTTCATACATTTACGTAACTGTTTTTACGTCTACAAAATTTCGTTTCTAAATCCTCGATTCCGTAGAAGCACAATTGCATATTAACAAGTAATATTCTAATTTGAATCAGCTCTGTGGAATCCATTTCACCCTTTGCAGTCGGAGTCACTTTAACTCGAAAATCAAAATAGCTTTTCTATACTATTTTCATTTTATAATTTTGTAAATACAAATAAATTTGATAATGTTAACACAGATTTACGTAGCACGCCAAAATGACGGATGACCAACTTTTTGTTTTACGCGATTATTCAGAATATGAAGATACATTTCTGAGATATCTATTCAACGCATCAGTTACTGTTACAACAATTTATAATGATGCCTTGTAATCGCCACTCGACTTGAAACGATTAACAAAATTTCCAAAATGTCCGCGAGGAAAATTCCTCGAATTGAAAATTCCTCGAATTGAAAATTCCTCCTGGCCCCATGGAATTCCGCTTAACGGACAACAGGAGAACAATTAATAGCCGCGGTGTTTGCCCAGGCGATCAGATTATTGATTCCCCGTTGTAATTAAGCCGAATCCCGCAGCCTAATAGCGGCGGCGATTACATAATGAAACGTGCGTCGGCGAGCAATCCAACGAGATCCGGCACGGTCGCCGATATGCGACGACGACGACGAAGATTCCTCCCGGGAAGTTAATCGAGAATCGAGCCACCATGATTTTTCATTTCGCAGCCGACCGGACACTTCGTTCTCGTGGTTCCGGAACCCGTTCAAGGCGTTCCGCTACGTGGTGTGCCGTTATTACAAATGGCACATCCTCTGCTCGCTCCTGATCCTGCTGTTACTCATGCTGCTCGCCGTGGGGATCTACGCGTTCCCCGGGTACATGGTGAAGCGCATCCTCGGCGCTTAAATGACGGATCGACGGACGGCGGCGCCGAGGCCCGAAATCATCGTTCATCGGCACCCGAGCCAAGAAAAACCGCGGGTGAAACGATCCGATGGCCGTTAATGAGGAACTGGGTCACCCGGCAGATATATTATCGATTCGCGACTACTTTGGGCCAATGGCCATACCTATTCGGCACACCGTGAATTCCAGGATAACGCGATCCAGTCAGCCAGCTAATGGCCGTTTTAATAATTAACGGCCGATGTTAATTCGACGTTTCAATTAGTAACGCCGAGAGCGCTTTCGACGGCATCGATTCTCGGAGATGCCAACGATAAAAGTATTAGCGAAGCGACGTATAACCGTAACTGTAGCCTGTTCTTTGGACACCTGTTGTGTATCTCGTTCATCTATTCTGTACGATAAAAGAATTCTACGTTCGACAGATTTATCGACTTCTCGATTACACGGCATGCTGCGATGATTTAGCTTGATCCAGAGTTCGGAAACGTTTTATCTCGGATCACCGATGGGAGATATAAGGAGCGACGAATTTGATTCGATATTCTCGAATAAATATCCCATCGGATAAAACTTAATTTAGACAATTTTTACACGAATCAGATTTTATTCGAATGAAAACTCGTCTCAATAAGAACGTGTTTGATATTCGAATGAGAATTTATTTCGACAGATATTCATTCGGAATGTAATCGATTTGGATCGAAATTATAGAATACGGTATTTCTCCACAGCCGATTTTACATACTGATTCTGTAATTTCGAATAAAGAATTACGCGGATAACTTATTCGAATGAAAGATGAGGAATTGTTCGAAAACAAAGCGACGCAATAATTTGTTACGAATAATGAAGAATTGTTATTCGTATGAAATGTTCGACTAAAAAGAATTCATTCGAATAATTAATTTAAATAAATATTTGTTCGAAACAATTCGAATATTGCCCAACCGTGTCGCGATATACTCGACTTCTCAGAATAAATGGCAACCGGAAAAATGAAATTTAAATTCAGTTCAATTTGCTTCAATATCACGTTGAAATTTTTCTCTCTACCTGCCGAAGTTTGCTTCGTTATAAATGTTCTCGCGAGATTTCGGTCTACCATAGGTATACCATAGCAGTATACCATAAATTCGGCACACCATACGATTCAGCAGCGCTGCAAATCGCTTTGAAAGTATCCTAAAATAGGTCGTAAATCAGAAGCAGAAACTTTCGCGCGCACATCCCGCGTCCCACGACTTCGATGGAAATGAAATATGGATAGCCCGGAATTTTCAACCTCAAAGGCACCCAGCCGGCTCCGCGCGAACCCTTCATAAAGATCTGCTTCATCGCTCCACTTTCCGTATCGCGACGAGTGCGCCTCAAAGCCTTTCGGCAAATATAAATCTCGCGACCGGTTGCTCGCGCATTAATCAGATTACAACGAACCTCGCGCCTGCCGCTCGCTCGTTAGCACGCTTTCCGTAACACGAGATTCTCGCGCTTACGCGACGCGTTTCCTCCGCTTTTTTTCACGGAATCGCTCGCCGGAGAAGCTCCGTGAAATTCGAGAATTATGAAAAAATTATCGGAAATTCGTATGCTCCTCGAATCTGAAATTTGAAAAATCCGAGAAAAATGTTTAAACTTGTATCCGAGAGGACAGATAGCTCGCGATCTTTTTTCTCAGAATTTTCTGTCGAACTCTCTTTTCAGAGATCCTTTCAGAGCTAATTAAGAGCGAAGTGCACGGACGACTCGAAACAGGTATTTTGCCCGATTCGGTTTTTCTTATTGATCGGGTTCGAATCGCGCGAGTGCAGTCCACCGTTCTATTCCCGGCAGCCAGGTGGAAAAGAGGCGACGTGACGTAACGAGAAGATCAATAACTCAACCGTTTTATTCGAAAGTTTATTGAACCCGCGAGTTTTCTTAATGTCGGCGGCGCTCGTTGTTTCCATCGTCGCGGCGCGGCGCGTACCGATCCGGTCACTTTTACGACATCGGCGAAGCAACGCGTTCAATTTCTTTTGTGCCGTTCCTTCCCGATAAACCTCTTTACGGCTGAACTCGGGGGGATGGTTCTAAGTAATCTAATCATCCTTTCCGGCAGATGGAGTCCCGGCTTCGCCCGGAATCCGCGATTCTACGACTGCCGACAGGAAACGTAGCGTCTCGGGGACAATTAAACGCTTTCGAGACGTTTGACTAACGATTATGGCGAGGACGTTCAGTTCGTTCGCGGACCGTCGATTTTTAGCCGTGAGAAATCTTTCGACATACGGAAGACATCTTTTCTACGTAATTAGTCGAAATGACTGGTATTTAAATGATTTTTGTACAATTCTTGATATTATGAGAATGTTTCTGTGAGAAATTTGTAGGTGCACTTTTTTATTCAAACATATATTATCGTAGAAAATATACAAAGTTTAAAGAAATCCGATGTGTTTGCATTGTTACAAAACAATATACATAAGTTAATTATAATCTGGAACATAAATCTTTATATATATATGTTATATGGATTATCTTATACATATTATTATTATTTTGATATATTACTATTATTTGCTAATGATCTTGCAGTTAGTGCGACCACGCTAAAATAAATAGACTTATAATAAAAATATTTGTAAATCGCACTTAGGATTCGGTAGCTCCAAAGTTAAAATCGGAAATCGACAGTCAAGAATTTCTCAAAAAATTGTTCAAAAATAGCAAAAGAATCTCACCCATAATCCGTCAAATTATTTAAATTAATATAACGTAACAAGTTTTTTTAAAATTATTATTTGAAAGAAAATTACTCGGTTTTATTTCAACACAGTTCAATCGTTCAAAAACCTATTCACAGCCGCATCCGATAATTAAAACGTTAATTTTCATCAAATTTAACGAGAAAATACGAGTTCGCAGACTATTCGGCTAATCGACTGAAAATATCTTCAGATGAAGCAGTTTCATCCACAACTGTGATTGCATTGCATGCCGATACGAGTCCTCGGTGAAAATGTAACTCATATTTGGAACTTATAACACTTTAATCAAGTTATCCTTCCACTATCATCGCGCTACAGGATTAAGAGCAGATACTTTCTACGTTACAGACACCTGTGGACGTTCCTGCCATCTGGCACAGAAAATACTTGCAAGACATAAAAACGATGGAAATTGCGGAGCACTCGCAAACTTTCCAGACTATGGAGTATGCAGGTACACCCCGGCAAGTAAGTGTCCAGACACTACTGGTTTTGCACCCGGAGTTTAGCCTTTGGTTGTTCATGTTCGACTTACTTCGAGCGAAACAATCGGAAAATACCTTAGAACAAGTTGGAACTATCTTGGATAATTCCTTGAAAAATAAATAACAGGAACAAGAGTAGAAATAATCAAACAATCTTTGGAACAAAGTTGAACTATTTCAGTACGTCCATTGAGAAATGTTAAATTGTTAAATATTAAATGTTAATAATTGATATCCGATACTTGGTATGATAACGAAGAACCTTTCTAACGTAAATGCTTATATTAGTTTTTTATATTATCAGGTTTTATGTTTTATCCGTACTTGCGCCACTGCTACATTATTATTATTTTTCTCATTATAACAATTTCTCATTATCCCGCCGATAAATAAATATTATTATTATTATCATGAAGAAAGATGAACTCTGATCAATTCTAACTGGAATTCTGATTTCTGTTCCCATCGGAACACACGATGCGAGAACGCACGCTTTCTTGAAAAATAGAACCTTCTTGAAGAATCAAAATAGATCCTATTTTTTTTCAATGGTTCCAGAACATTTTCCGATCTAAGATTCTTTGACTATTTGCTGGTCACCCGTGTACTTATAGCCGGGACTGTATATCCACGTCTCTGCGTGACAAGTTTATCGATCTCGAATGTTCACCATAAAAAGAACTTTCGAAATACATAAAGAGTTTTTACGGCACGATAACCGGTCTCGTCGGGAAAGGCGTTCAAAAATATTCGCCTCGGTTTAGAACCTTGTTTAAATTATGTCGAGAGAGAGAGAGAGAGAGAGACAGAGAGAGAGAGAGAGAGAGAGAGAGAGAAAGAGAGAGATATGAAAGACGTACAAAAAAATTCGCCTTGGTTTAGTACCTTGTTTAAATTACGTAGAGAAAGAGAGAGAGAGAGAGAGAGAGAGAGAGAGAGAGGCGAAGAGAGAGGGAGAGAGAAAGAGAGAAAAAGAAAGATTGAGAAAAAGAGAGACTGAAAGAGAGAAAGGAGAGCCGCGTTCCGAATTTTCGACGATCCGGCAGAAAATATCACGAATTTTTATTAATACCGTCCACATTTCTGTCGCGTCGTCATAAATATTTACCGGCCCAGAAAGCACCTCGGAATATGTAGCACGTGGATGGGAGGCGTGCTCCCTCGAGAGCGGACAGTGGAAACAAATGGAAAGTTTTATCGTTTTCGGTATTGAGCGCGCCTGTCGCGTCTCTATATTTTCTTGCCGAGCGAAACTTTTATCTTGCTATCGATGCCATTCTGTCTTTTCGAACAGCTTCTTTTTCCTCTCCGTAGAAATTTCGGGTAATGGACGCGTTCGTGTTCTCCTCTCGCGCTTATATCCTATGCTTTCGACGAATCCATCGAGTTTGATTGACGTATAGCTGCAGGGAACGGATGTGGCTGAATGTGCCACACGGAACTCGTAACGACCGCCGCTCCCAAACATCCTACGGTGTCAGCGAACCGTCTCACAGAAGCGCAACATGCACTCGCGACGCGAAAATGTGTAATCAAAATTCTCTTTCGAGTCTTCCGTTCGCAGAAAACTTCAAAAACGAAACAGTAACTCTTCTCGAAATATCTTTTGCTATGACAGATTACAGATTACAGATCACAGATCACAGATCACATATTACATATTACATATTACATATTACATATTACATATTACATATTACAGATTACTGATTACAGATTACAGATTACAGATTACAGATTACAGATTACAGATTACAGATTACAG